TAAATAAAAAGGAATAAGTCGAGCTCAAACTTTCACGAGCTTCAACTAATAGCTCTAATTGATGGCACAAAAGAAAATGCCTTTTACCACTGTACTTAAACTCAATTCCTCTTGTTCCATATTAGTAAGTAGCAACCATAAGCCCCCACCTACAGTTTGCTAGATGTGACCAATAAAAGGTGCCTTTTAATCAAGTCTCCAAATGATAATAGAAAATGTATTAATATCTCAGCAATTTCTACACACAAAGCTTTAAGAAATGCATGTCACATTCACAAGCCAATACAGAAGGAAATGTAAAACTGAAATGCGTAGTTTATGCTTTGGACACCCAATCTCTCTCACATCTCAGTCTTTACTTTCATCTCTCCATTCGGTAGGCTACTTTGTGATTGTGCCAAACGTTTGGTCTCCTGCAAAAATTACAAAAAAGGTTCGGAGTTCATAAGTACAAAAATTGATGCACTTTCTTCTAGCTGGACTAAATAATCAACAAAGGATAGGCCAGAACAGATTTTTTTTTCCCACCATTAAAGGTGAAAAGCAAGAAATCAAGCATACATACATCAAGAAATCATATAATAGAGAGTTAGTTTCCCCAAGTGAAGCTATGAACTCAATCTGGAGCAACAGAAGTACATTTGACTAAACGTTCTAGAAACATTTTGATGTTAAACTGGTGCTGAATAGGGCAATGTGATCTCAGAGTGTGTTGAATGATTTAATCAATGGGACACCAATGAGGAAAGAAACAGTTTTGCAGTTGGCCTATTAAATTGTCCATTTACGGCCAAATGTGTTACTTACTGACAGATGCTGACCAATATCGACGAGGGAAAAAAGTGGTCTCCAAGTTTCTAATATTCTAACGTATCAGTCATTTAAGAGGGAAACAAAAATTAATATTTCTAAGGCACTTAAAAAAAGGATATTTGATGTAACATGTGTTCAATATTAGATGACCATACCACATATAATACACACTTGGCATCACTTATATAGAACAAAAATTATGTGATAGCCTCTGGAAGAGGTAAAAGGCTCATATAAAGCACAATACTCCATAACTCATAAAATCATTGGTGTTTATCAGTTTAACGCATTACTGAAATGGCTCTCGGTAGCTTTTCATTAATAAATGTAGCAAAAGCCAAAAGGACAACCTCAAACGTGCATGGTCTTGCAAAGAAAGCTTTGAACAATGATTGTCTGGACCATATCAATTTATCAGGTTTTTTACTTTTCTTCAACTGTATTATACTAATTATCATTCTCAAGATTGATATCTATAGTGCATTTCTCATGCAATCTATCTCACATTTGCAACATATTAATAATCTGAAAAAGTCATTTTATTCTCTTTCTTCCATTTTTTAAATTAGTTTGCCGATTAAAAGATAATCTTCCTTCAATATTCTTTTAAAACAAGACCCCCAAGTACATGGAATACATCAAGAGAGTTCTGTTATATGGGTTGAACTTTTACAAGTTTAGAGTATAGCTCTGAGTTTTCAAGAATCATAAGCCCGTTATGTTCATGCCTTCAGATCAAGTATAAAAACAAAACTCTCCATGCAAAGTCGTCTGATGACGTGACTTAATTGACCTAAAGATCTGTGATAATATAGCATGATAATGCATGCACAAAATAAATATAATCCATCAAAATATTGAAAAGATGAGGCACACAGATGCAAGGGTAGTGATCTTCCAACTTAGATACTCAATAAAATGTCAATACAACTCACAGCTGCAGATGCTGCACGAATCTCTCTATAAGCATCAACTTCATCAGGAAAAGCTTGCTCCAGTTCTTCAAGAAGATGTTTGCGCAAGCTCTGCAAGAAATAAAAGCATAAATTGATAAAAATCAACCAACTCAAATAAAACCAGCAAGCCTATCCATGTTCAATTTATGAAAGGCAAAATATAAGAAATCAGGATAATCAAATGGCCATATACATTAAATTGATTCGTGTACATACAGTTTGTTTTCATACATAATATATGTAGCGAAAACAAATGGAGTATCATAATCATAAATATAAAAAGGCGAAAATGTAGTTTAAAGACGATAGAAGTGCATTCATAAAGAAAACACAAACCTTGAAGGTATCTGTTTTCCCCTTTGTGATCTGATTCTTTGCAATACAACCATTCAACATATCCCGTGTGAATTCATCAGGGTTCTTCCCATCATCAATCAAACTGCACCCCAGATCATATATACATGAATAATAAATGGGGGAAACATTTTTCACAAAATTACATGATTAAGTAGCATTTATAGCTTCTACCTTCAAGAGAACACTTACTTAAGAACCTCCAAAGGAACCTGTATATTACACTTCTCTGCTAATCTTGTCATATTATCCAGCTCAAGTACCAGGTTATTCCTATATCCAAACAGAAAGACCTAATCAAAGATCCACCAAAAGAAAAAATGAACAGATGCAATCAAAATCATCGAAAACAACAGTCGAATTTGCAGGGTTGCTACTTCTCTACTACTTGAAAGTGGAAATTCTCCATTACCAAACAATAAGTAGCAAAACGATTGAAAAACTGAAAAAAGTTCAAACCCTAAACACAAAACAAGAGCATAATTCACCAAAAAAACAGAATGACTGGAAAATTAGTTACATGCGTTGCAGAAGGGGGAGTTGAGAGGCCACGTTGTAGGAGGATACGGTGAGGTACAGCTGGTGAAGGATGCCGAGAGTTTTCTGGATTGAATTTATAACTTGAGTCAAGTTCTGCTTGGGATCGTCGATTGAGGCCGCGGCAGTGGTTGCCGAGGAATCCATCGGCGATTGGTCGGTTGACTGTGAGGTCATGATGCTGTTGCTGCCGGCTGCCGCCTGTGAGGAATCCATGCTTCTCGAGCCAGAGGTGAGCTGGAGACTTCTATGGCGACGGTTTTCTAATTTCTATGTAACGCCTGTATTTGGGCAACACTCGAGTCTTAACATTATAGAACAAAGTTTAACACATAAAAGTATATTTAATTATTGTATCATGGTACGTATATGGAAAATTAAAATAGTTTTTTTTTTTTTGGTGTGTGTGTACGTGTATGGTATATCGAACTTTCCACGTGAGTCACGAATCACGATACTAGCTGTATCAATACAAAATATTATACTTGGTCGACTTGACTCAGAAATTAGTTAATCGAACTGCATGATCTGGTAGGTCGATTGGAGATCGAATAAGCTATAGGTCAATGAGTCCTCAAGTCGATGGGACGCCGCAAATAAAAAGAATCGCCGACAGGTCGAGCTAGGACATTGGATGGTCTGGTAGAAACTCGACCTGAAGGCATGCAAATTGATAGATGGACTAGAGAAACATATGCATGAGCTTATTGTGGAAGACAATGTATCTCAAAAAAAGTTAGATCGGTTGCACGATTAGACCGTCTAATAAGGCAGAAAATAAATAAAAATAAATATAATGAAGACAACAACTATAAGTGGATTGGATTCCAAAAGAAAAATGGTGAAGATTTTCACTTATTAGATTAAATGATCTATCGAAATGCTTTACTTCTACCCAATTACGCGTCTTTCGATAGCTTAAGCCTAAGAGGATGGGGAAATTCTGAAACACCAAAACTTTACGACAACCAAACCATGCGATAAGAACGTCAAATATTTTTAGATTTGCAAATCACCACATCACACATTCTCGAGTCAGAAAGACTTATCTTTTCCTACTCGAAAAAGTTTCCATCTTTGCACAAAATACCATTATAACTAGGGCTGCCATCGGTTCGGTTACCGAACCGATACAATAATACCGATACCGAACCGAACACTATCGGTTTCACTACTTTGCGAACCGAAACTGAACCAATAAACATTCGGTAACCGAAAAGTCGGTTACGATAAAACGGTTTGGTTTCGGTTTAAACCGATAATAAACCGAAAAAACCGAGGCTAATTAACAGAGCAGCAGATTAAGAAAACAGAGCAGCAGAAATGCAGAATAAACAGAGCAGCAACAGCCTACCAGCAGCCATGAATTAACAGCAGCAGATTAAGTAACAAATGAACTAATGAACATGATCTAATGACACGAAACTTAAATGAACATCAGCAGCTCAACGGGTTCCCAATCCCATATCCAAAATGCATGTTAGAGATAAGCTATAAATATTAAATCATATCGAATCAACTCAACGGGCCACCCAGCCCACATCCCGGTTTTGATTTTTGTGTTTCCTTTGAAAACAAAATTGAAGATAATTATCGGATTTGAAAATAAATACCCGGGGCACGGCTGACGCGAAGGTGAGTTGCTGAAGCCGTGAAAGTGTGTCGGTGAAGGAGGCGATCTGAAGTGAAGGTGAGGTGAACCGTGAACGACTAATGAACGATTGTACTCCCAGGTGAAGGTGACGATCTGAAGGTGAGGCGGTGAAGCCGTGAAGGTGTGAACGGCAGATTGATGAACGAAGCCGTGAAGCCGTGAAGGTGAGGCGATCTGAATTTCTGAAGTGAACTGATGAGATGATTGATGAACGAAGGAGGCGATTGAAATTTGAAGGTCCAGCCCCAAAAATTTAGAAGGTCCAGCCCTAATTAAAAGAGGCGATTGAAACTTGAAGGTCCGTCCTTTTGTCTTAGATTAGATTGTTAGATTAATTAAGATTTAAGATTAAATTATTTTATTTAACTAATATAATTATAATATACCTATTCAAAAGCAGTATTTTAATTTTTTTTATATATCGGTAACTGATTTTTGATTACCGTTAAACATAATTCGGTTCCATTCGATTTATTTTCACATCGATTCGATTTGGTTTTTGGTTTTCGGTAAAAAATAACAGCCCTAATTATATTATAATGTATGGTAAAACAAGAATTTTATGTTAAATAGTAATATTTTTCTCAGTTCTTAATTATTTTTTGTGCATTTATGGTTTATGATTTAACAATAAGAAATATAAATTATTTTATTTGTTTATGGTTAGAAAACTCTCAATTTTTTCAATTAAGCCATAATAAACACGCAATTTCTTATACAAACCATCCCACGAACCGGCATGTTTAAAGCATTTTCAAAAACCTTCCTCGGCGGCCACCGTCTCTCCAACTTCAGACCCACCGCGAAAATCCCTTTCCACCACCACATCACTCTCTCCCCTATGTCAACCGCCGCCGCCGCCGCCGCCGTCAAGCGCGTGGGCACCCACAACGGGAGCTTCCACTGCGACGAAGCCCTCGGCTGCTTCATGATCCGCCTCACCAAAAAGTTCTCAGACGCTCACATCGTCCGCACGCGTGACCCGCAGGTCATACTATCATCCCCTAGCTTCATTAGCCGGAGATACATTTTTCATTTGTTTCTGGGTAGATTCGTGTTTGCTGTTGTTTTTTGTTTTTTTCTGGTATATGTAGGTATTATGTTTGATGAAATGTGCCTTTGAACTGTATCAGGTTTTGGAGAGTCTTGATGCTGTGCTTGATGTGGGTGGGGTTTACGATCCCACCAGAGACCGATACGATCATCATCAGAAGGGTTTTGAAGAGGTTTTTGGGCATGGCTTTGATACTAAGCTCAGCAGTGCTGGTCTTGTTTATAAGGTAACATTCGATGCAGGGCACCCCACCTTCAGTTCTTGTCGTCCGATTTAGAAATTGAATTTCACTGCATACTTGTAGTTTTCTGACACCTTTTGGTATCAGTTGCCAATTCCTTCATTTAGTTTGAGCCTGCTTACAGTTGGTATTTGCGATATTCGGGAATAGGAGAGCTAATTTTTTGCACAAGTCGGTGATTATGAGTTATTGTTGGTTAAAAAGGCAGTTTCTTTCCGTTTAATATGTAGCATTTTGGTAAAGAGATAATAGCTAAGGAACTTCAAGTGGATCAAGAACATCCAGATGTGCACCGATTGTTTCTGGCAGTTTATAAGAGCTTCATGGAGGTAATTTGCCTTTTCTTAAGCAGAATGGTTTTTTTATTTATTTCTTTTTGAATAGTTTTATATTTCTTCATGAATTGGATAAGTTAGCAGTGATGTCGTCTGTCGTACAAGCACCATTGTTGGTATTCTTGGATATGATAAAAATGTTTGCTAAAATGTGGTTGCAATTTCTCCTAGGAAAATGAGGCTGAAGTCGAACGGTGCCCAAACTTTCAGTTTATTGAGTAACATTACATGTCCAGTGCCTTTATATGTTCAGTTTCAAGGGAAAACTAGCGTAAATGGATGCCTTGATGCCCAGCAATAACTTCCCGAGCCAACATAAACAAACATCCTGTCTAATAACTAGTCTCCTAATATTGTCCTGGATCTGTGATTAAATTGACGATTGACAATTGATTCTTTCTGCGTTATCAATTAGGAACAGCATCTTACCCTGCAACAAAAATTGAAAGATTTGGGTTTCCAATAAATTATGGTTTAGGCCAATAGCACCGGATAATGTTTGAAAATTGGGATACCTTGCAGCTTCTTGAAAAATCCTAAATCTCTTTTATTTCCTGGAGAAGTCTCCGTATTTAGACCTTGCCTTTTTTTTTTACTATGCATTATTTCTTTTTCAGCCATTAGATAATTGAAGATCACAAACTTTTCATTCCCTTGTCAGATTACTCATCTTTTACCTACTGATAACAGGCAATTGATGCCATCGACAATGGAATCAATCAGTACGACACTGACCAACCCCCAAGATATGTGAATAGTACACACTTGTCTTCACGGGTAGGAAAACTGAATTTGGATTGGGTAGATCGTGATCAGTCATCTGAGAAGGAAAACGAGGCCTTTGAAAAAGCAATGGCTCTTGCTGGGGGAGAGTTTTTGGATGTAAGTTCATTCAAGCACATTTTGAGTGCTATCCTTTTCTTCCTATGTTTTATTAACTTCGCTTGTGTCAGCTAGTTTAATCCGAATGTTAGTTCTTTGATCAACAAAATCAGTTTGAATTCTTTTTAACCATAAGGTTTTTTCGGTTGAAATTGTAAAAGGATGAAAAAAAAAAATAGATAAAAAAACTTCTGTTTTGGTTGTAATTTGAAGGCTTGTTGGTTGGGATTTAGAAGTGATGACCTTCTTAATTGTCTTTATTTTAGAGCTTACGTAGTCATGCGAGATCATGGCTACCTGCTCGGTCAATTGTGATTGAATGTCTTGAAGCGAGGCTGGATGTTGATCCAAGTGGAGAAATTATGGTTCTCAACAGATTTTGCCCGGTGAGTCTTTTTTTACCTTTTTATTTTTACTTCCGTAGCAACATTTATGATATATACGCTCTCTGTTTTAAACTTTATTAGTTACCACTGAGGTTCTAAACCAATCCGATAGATAAGGTTGTTAAATGACGTGATATTTCGAATTAAATGGATAATAATAGAACATCTGAAGCCTTAAATGTGATTTTCCAGTATGCTCTTGTTTTCTTTACTGAATTTCCTTCAAACTTATATTATGGCAACATTTCACCTCCATAAAATACTTACATCCTAAAAACTAAGCGACCATACCCTCCTTGTATTGTCAAAAAAGTTTTCATGATCAGCTAAACTTAATGCTCGCCAAATGCCTTGAGCTCAAGGATAAGTTAACATTCGTTGTAACAAATGTTCTGTCTTGTTAATCGACTCCATGGATAAGATAAAACATTCGTTGTTTTTTCCAACAGTGGAAGCTTCACTTGTTTGAGCTCGAGGAAGAATTGAAGACAAACCCACCTATCAAATATGTGCTTTATCAGGTAATTATCACTTGCACATTTCACTTATCATAGATTCTGACTTTTTACACGTATCACGTAAGTCTTATCACGTGTTCAAAANAGGAGCAAAAGTTGGCGAGTGCAGGCAGTGGCAATAGCACCTGATAGATTCGAGAGCCGAAAGGCACTTCCTGCTCAGTGGCGTGGTCTGAGGGATGATGAGTTGTCCAAAGAGTCGGGAATTTCTGATGGGGTTTTTGTCCACATGAGCGGATTTATTGGCGGGAATAGAACGTTTGAGGGTGCACTTGCAATGGCTAAAGCTGCTCTCAAATTCTGACCACTATTTAAAATTTGTTTCTTCATCAGCTGCCTCATTCGCTATTGTTCGTCTAATTTCGATGGTATACTTTGTTTTGGTTTTTGTGATCTGATTCTAGACAATTTTCTTTCAGAATCTACTTGGGAATCTTTCCAACTTTTTTTACTGTCAGATATTTTTCCATTACCCTCAATGAGTGGATTGACAAGAAAATTGAACATTGGTTGGTCTGTTGCACATTTTCATATTACGTGATTTGGCTAAGATTTAAGTGATTTTTATTTTATTTTTTATTTTGGTTAAAAAAGGAGGGAATTTTCCGATGCATTCTCTCATCTTTTTGTCGATCGCTATTGAGAAAAGAGACCACGAGGCAGCTGCACAGCTGATCATATAGCTCAAAATTACGAGTTTCAAGTTCAAATTGGATATAAAATATTTTTAATTTGATGTTCTTATTGTGTTCATAATCAAGCTCAAACTTTGCTCGTTTATCAATATTTATTAACGAGTCGAACCATAGTATATACATAAAAATCATCTTTTTCAACCTTATTCGGTAACCCAAACGAGCTTTAAATAAGTTCGAGCTCGGCTACATCTTTTTTATTTTTTTCAATGTTTGGGATGGCAAGTTGAAAAATGACGAGAGTTGCAGTGGAGACCATCTCAGCTCATGTATGTACCTCAATCAAAAGAAATATACAATTTCCGCAGTTTTTTCTTCACTAGGTAAAATAGACTCTAAAAGCCATTCATAGGTTACACAAAACTATTCTGATACAAAAGAGTTGAACAATAAACATGCAGCCATCTAGGCAAATAAAACACATTCAAAAGATTGAATAACAAATGACTAAAATTAGCCTAAAAGTTAAATTACGCGTAATAAAAGTTAATTAAGAGCTTAGTCAGCTACTACTAGCTTCTAATGTATTATTGCCATTAGAAGCTGTTTGTTGTCCTGTGGACTGCTGCGCAAACTGGCTTCCCGATGAAGTCGGAGGAGAAGTGACAGCTGGATGGTCAATATCCATGCCAGCTGTCCTAGGTGGCGATGACGGCTGTACATCCACATCAGAATATGCTGCCTTGAATCATGCTCTCAGCCCTTCATCGACTAACCGTACACCTTGCAACTGGTTACCCAGTGAGAGCCACCTGGCATTCACGGCAAACACCTTATTTTTTTTTTTCTTCACAAGAAGCTAATGAAAAATAGGCGTATTTGTGACAAACATTCAAAACAAAATTGATCTCCCGAGAACCTCAAAACATACAATTTAACCGTACTAATTGTCGTCTTAGTTTTTTTCACCAACAATGAAAAATAACTACTTTATCTTTCAGGTATATACAGAAAAACAATATTGTTTAGTACTTACTACGGCCGAGCTCAGGTAAGTTTTGCTAGAAAATGCAAATTAACCTCTCAACCAGCTTTTACCTTTCCTTAAAGTGTCATGTTATATATAAGCTACTCTATGGTACACACAGCCTTTACCATTTAACATGTAGCTTTAGATTATCAAAAAGCATACAAAAAGTTTCTAAATAGAGTTGATTCAATGCACCCCGACAAAAATCGGGCCATAAAATCTGGATGGAAATCAAGAAAGCATACCCGGCCTGCACGTTGTGCATCCTTGCAAACAACTCCAGCTTTCTTGTTCTTGGACTTATCCGTTCCAGCATTGCATACATCTACAAATACGATATTGCTAAGGGTTGTTAGTAACTTTTGAATTTTGATAGCTAAGAAGTCAAAGTGTGTGACTTTTAAGAAATAATTTATGTGGTAAAATATATCCACACTCAAAATTTGTATCGCTAGACAAAATAGATTGATCATACAATCATATGCAATGCAAGCAAACAAAATCATTTATATATATATATATTTGTTCAGTCCCTTAATTTGTGTTATATAAAGAGGTGTCAGCAAGCCAAAACTGACCTCATCAGGTTTGCGACTTGTTTCACGAACTTCAGCAACAATGACATCAGTGTCGATATTTCTATTCACCTCAGGATTTCCTTTTACTCCAACAAGGCAATGCTCTTTGCTGTGGTTGAGCCAATGGCCCGTTCGGCCCGTTCTGATAATCCTCTGGAGTTGATTGGTCTTCACCCATATTATCTCCTCCACACGCTTGTAACCCCAAAGCTCCAAGCTGCACAATCATCTTTTGCTTGTAAGATAATATTTACTGCCATCAACTCTTCAGTCGGCATTCAAAAAAGACTAATTAGTTTATCAGATATAAATTATGAAGTCTTATAAATTATGTGTATATATAATATTAAAATTAAAAGATAGATAATGTATATATCACATTTTATAAATTTGATTATTGATAAATAAACAGTATAAATAAGAATTATTTAACTATACACATGAATCTTTATATTGATTGCACACATTTTAACTACTTTGAGGGATCAAGACCAAAATTAATTACCAAGACAAATATTGAAACATTATTATTATTATTATAAAGGTTTTTTCTATGCCATTAAATTAATTATACGTATAAAAAACTAGGGATTTTTTTTTTTAACATCCAAAAGTATGTCATTTTTTAGAGTTTGCCATACAAACTTTTTTTTTTTTTGACAATTTGTCTCCCAATGTAATCGAAACTGACAATTTGCCTCCTCGATTGAAAACCTTAATATGGCACAAAAGAGTTTTTAACTGATACATTTTAAATTAATCTTTCAAATTGATTTAGGGCTTTTAAAGCCCATGGCGAGACGAACAAATGAGGTATGAGTTATCGAATTCTGAAAATTGATACCTCTATAATCGATCCACGAAGATAGTAGGAGCACGTGTGTATATAGAAAAAAATTCAATTCAAGTTTTCTGATAATCAAGATATTCAATTTTCGATTGGGAGGTGTCATTTGAAAACTAGTAGGACCAATTTTCTAACACGTAAATCTTATGAAAATCCAACGGTCGGATTTTGATCAGTATTTAGAAAACTACTGACCATTAGTTAGTTTATTCTACTAACCAAAATCCGACCGTTGGATTTTCATAAGATTACTTCCATAGAAAACTCGTCCTCCAAGCTTTCAAATGACACATCCCAATCGAAAATCGGATATCTTGATTATCAGAAAATTTGAATTGAAATTTTTTGTATACACACGTGCTCCTGCTATCTCCGTAGATCGATTTTAGAGGTATCAATTTTCGGAAATCGACAAACCATACCTCGTCTCGCCATGGGCTTTAAAAGCCCTAAATCAATTTTAAAGATTAATTCAAAATTCATCATTAATTAGTTAAAAACTCTTTTATGCTATATTAGGGTTTTCAATCGAGGAGGCAAATTGTCAATTTCAATTATTTGGGAGGCAAATTGTCAAAAAAAAAAGTTTTGTATGGCAAACTCTAAAAAATGGCATACTTTGGGAGGTTAAAAAAGTTTTTCCCAAAAACTAACTTTTAGAGTAAATAGCTTGAAAAAAAAATGCAATGTAATGTTTGATGAGTATATAACTTANTATATATATATATATATATAATTAGTTGTTTTCGGTAATAACTAATAAAGTATGATTAAACTTAGTTAATATAAAATGTAACGGTTTCAACATAATTGATTGAAAAATGAGCGGGAAAAGTTATCATTTGCATTAATTTGGTAGCCTGAAATTATATATATAATTATATGTAGAAATTTTATAATTTGTTACGTCTGGGGAATGAAAGAGGCATACCATTCACGTCCAAGCTCCATTGCACTCCAGTGACCCAAAGGAATATAAGACCATCGGTTTGTAATGCAGGAACGTTTAAGGTGCGCATTTCATCATCAGCCATAGTTCCATAAGGCAATTCCATATGAATATCCCAAGGTGGATCAGCCATGATAACCCCGAATTTCCCCAATATGTCCATTCTGAACGAATGTATGTCACAGTTGATCCACTGTGGTTCTCCAAGCTCGACTTCCGAGCAATAGTGAGCGCTTTGAAGCTTCGAGGGCTTCGGAGGAGGTAAAGTAGTAGCTTGCCCCATCATCATAGGTGATACATCAGGAGTTGAGTCGAGCTCGTAATGTACATATTTGCATGTCTGTCATTTTTTACAAGTATTGGTTTTGATTCAGAAATGAAAACTATTTTACAAGGGAAAAGAAAGACAGTATTTTGATTACCTTCATGTGACGACAGGTGTCGAGAAATGAACAGTCCCCTAAATTCACATCAGTATGTGCGGCAATTATTCGTCGAAAATGAACCTAAACCAAGTAAAAAGATTTCAGGTAAATATTATCAAGCTACAGCAATGTTATAAAACCAATCTAACAAACAATGTTTTTACCTTATCACAAGCAATGAAGGAACCAAACTGCCGTCGGCAATCTTCTTTCGTTAAAGCAGAGCAGTATTCTTTCACTTGAGAACCACCTTTGCTTTTAAACTATTATTACACCAATCAGCAGCAATGACAAGGCTTATTAGAGTTTATATCAGAAATTTCTTCCAGCAAAAACAGCAAGAAGAATATCTAAATATCTAAACACAATAGTACTCATATGTGACAAGCAACGAAACACCACATAACATAAGAATATATGTCAAGGCAATTTTCACTTGATCCGAAACAAATCAAAGAAAATCAGAGACTACAATTTACAATTTTACATCCCCTTTTCATTAAAAAAAAAATTAAAAAAAGAATAAAAATCCTATGCAGCTTAGTCAATCCTAAAAGCAATCAACCAGCAAAAACACACACCTTAGCTGCCACAGCGGTTTCTTTAGCTGTAGGCCGGTGGATGAGATCAAGAAGCTCCTCACCAGTCTTCGACTTCTGCATCTCTCTGAAACTCTTCTTGTTCAGCAAAGCCTCGAGATCCTTCATGTCATCTTCCTCGGTCCTCGGCTTCACTGCAAGTGCATTTGCAGCCCCTCCGGAAGCCATCTGTCTGTGCATGAGTGGAGGTACAGGCAGCCATTGTCCTCGGCCATGGACCTCAGGGCCGTTCTCCACCGCCAGGATGGGCCCGGACTCACCGCCCAGCTCCCTCAGGGCGGCCCGATCGGCCGGCCCGGCCGACGACGGGCCGTTCTCCAGCTTCCTCAGCACCGTGGAGGAATCGATTGCGCTGAAGGGGACCCTCTCCAGCAGGCACACGGCGACCATGGACCGGACGACAAGGAGCGGGCCCCCGCTTTCTTCGATCATGGCCCGCTCGTTCTGGCGAGGGGAGGGCCGGGGGACGGCGGCGGGGATTTTGGCCTTTTGGGGTTGTCGGGGGGCAATTTGGGGATATGGGTCTTGGGATGGGCGGGCTTTGGGGGCAAGATCTGGGAAAGGGGGGTGAAGGGCGCGTTGTTGAAGGCGGAAATGGCGCGGAGGGAGAGGTCGAGGGAGGAGACGAGGTCGGGGACGGCGGTTTGGAGGGAGGAGATGAGGTCCAGCTGGGCCGAGTGGAGGGTGTCCACACGGGATTCCAGCTGCTGCCTCGTCTCCTTCATCGCTGCGATTGGATCTTCATTGGTTTCGGAAGCTAAACCCTCCATTGGNACTGAGTCCCTATTATATTTTGGTGCCCAATTTTAATCCTTAAAACAAAAAAATGTAGTCTCTATAATTGAGAAAAATCTACTTTTAGTCCTCCATGTTTAGGGGTATCCAGACTTAATCCCTATTATGTTTTGATGCCCAATTTTAGTCCTTAAAAAAAATATAGTCCCTTTACCTCAATTTATTTGAATTAACGGTCCATTTTGGCTCAACCGTTATATTCTTTATTTTTTTAAAATTTGTTGACTAATGTCAACTTTGACCAAAGAAAAAAATAAAAGAAAATTTATATGCTGAAAAAGTAAAATAAAAGACAGAAATAGTGAACTGCAGTGAAACGTAAAAAAAAAAAAAAAAAAAAACTCTAACCGCCTAGGGACTAAATCCGATCACATGGATGGAAATGGTGTAGTATTTTGTAGATGTGAGCTGGTTGCAAAGTTGACTACATGCTGGAAGGATGATAATCTCGGGAGAAGATTCTTGAGTTGTCCTCTATATCCTGTAAGTACTTTCCGTGAACTTCAATTGGAATATGATAAGAAATGGTTAAAAAACAGAGGGTTGATAGGTGCAATTTTTTTCGATGGCATGACCCGGAAATGGGTGCAAGAGCATTAGATGTGATTCCAGGCTTGCTCCGCAACGCGAATGCTAGGGAAATAGAAATCAGACGAGCAAAAATTTTAATTTAATTTAGTGCAATTTCTTGTTTTAGTTTAATTTTTTATTAATATATTTTCAGCATTTAAATTTTCTTTTATTTTTCTTTGGTCAAAGTTGACATTAATCAACAAATTTTAACAAAATTAAAGAACATCACAGTCGAGCAAAAATGGACCGTTAATTCATAGAAATTGAGGTAAAGGGACTACATTTTTTTGTTTTATGGACAAAAATTGGACACCAAAACATAATAGGGACTCATTTTTTGTTTTAAGGACTAAAATTGGGCACCAAAACATAATAGGGACTCATTTTTTTGTCTTAAGGACTAAAATTGGGCACCAAAACATAATAGGGACTCAGTCTGGATACCCCCTAAACATGGAGGACCAAAAGTGGACTTTACCCGTTGATAAATGTCAATTATTTAGATGGATTGTGAATAACATAAGATATTTGTTAAGTTCACAATTTTAACTTTAAAAAATTATCTACAATGCACAATATGATTAAACATAATATTATCTATTTAGCAAAAATAAAAAAATTATAAATAAGAAACAAAAAAAAATTAAATAATTTAGATATTTTGAAAATGGTAATAATATTTCTCTCTCATCTCTCAATTGGTTAATTGGAATGTGAAAGAAAATGTGGATGAACCACAATCTTCTCTGGACATTAAAATGTAATTTACTACAACTATATTTCACCATTGGATATGCTCTAATAGACAGTAATAATTATAAAGGATAAATTATAAATCTAATCTTAATTTTTGGTTTGTAATTTTTACGGTATAGACCATTGTTTTTAAATCCGACCCAGTAATCGACTCGGGCAGGTCCTCGGGTCACCGGTTCAACCGTCGGGTCACCGGGTCAATTGCTGAACCGGATAATTAATTTTAAAATTTTTAAAATTATATATAGAGTATTTTTGTCATATAAATATACATAAAAGTAACAACATTAAATGTTTTGTGTATAAAATTTGTACATTAAAGTGTTAATAATATATATCTCATGATAAATATTTACTGTATAAACATATATACATAGTTTTATTTTTAAAAAACAAACAAAATAAAAAAAAAAATATGTATGGACTGGGTCAACTGGGTCAATGCCCAGGGTCGGCCGGGTTTTGATCGGGTTTGACCGGGTCCTTTGTTGCCCGGTCCAAATAGCCCACCCGGACCGGTTCCGACTCCGGGTCGACCTGCCGGGCCGGTCCGGGTAAAAAAACACTAGTATAGACAATAATAAGGATAAATTGCAAATTTATTAATCATAATTTTAGGTTTGTTTTTTTCTTCAATAATTAATATCACGCTATATATCTTTCAAATGCAAAGTCAAGATTCCACTCATATCAACCTTCACTAGCGAACAATGTTTTTTTCTCCAACGAAAACAAATGCATTAAACTCATAAATTTGCAAAGGCATTTTCAGCTGAACGCCAACTCTAATAAAATTGAAAGAGAGGCAACCATCGGGGGAATGGAACATTATTCCCCTTCAAGAGCCAACTTGGCTAAAACACAACTACCGACCGAAGACGGACAACACTAAAAACATATAAATGAAACAAAGACTTCAAAGACAAATGATTGGAGACAATCTGATAGCCAGAAGGTAATCTTCCAAGTAGTTTTCAACCAACTTCCAGCTAGCTTTTTATTCCAGCACCATTTCATCTTCAAGATAAGCCACTACTCCTGCACCAACCTTTCCTTCAGAAGAAGTTAGGGCACTGACTTGCGGCCTAACAAGTCCTACCCTCCTGAAAAAGTCTTCTCCATGGTCATGGGAAACATCAGTAAAAGAAGCAGTGATTCGAACAACAGTCTTTAATGCATTATTGTCTTCAAAGTCCATCTCATTCCAGTCCCTCAAAGCTCCAACAGCAACTTCAACTTCCATAAATTGGTCTCCTCTGAACATTTTGTTATTCCTTGCCTTCCATATTCTCCACATTAAGCACACTGAGACAGACATTCTGTCCTCCAGTTTTGCTGCATTTTTACTATTGCCCACCCTTTCCCACCACTCTTTGAAGTTGAAATTTTCTTTGGTGAAATCATCTCAATCAATACCAAGCAACTTCCAGCATCTTGAGCTCTTCTGACAACTGACAGAGAGGTGGTTGATATCCTCTGCAGCCTCTCCAAAAAGTATGCAAATGTGGTCAACAACAATTCCTTTGCTCCTTAGTTGAACTTTTGTGCTCAGAAATCCATTAAAAACTCTCCACATAAAAATTTTGAGCTTGGGTTGAGTCTTCATCTTCTAAGTCATTTTCCACATCCTCTTAGGTCCTGCATCAACTTTACTTGAGTTGGCCTTTACAAAGTCCCCTGAAGAATGAGCACTGAAATTTACGTATGCCGACTTAAACTAAAAGTATCCTTCTTGTCTAAAGCCCACACTAGTCTTTCCTTCCTTCTAAATTGACTTAAATGGATTTTTAGAATTTGAGAAGCAATGCAGAGGGGAAAGTTTGATCAATTAAATCCACATCCCAGCCCCTCCCATCCCTCATAATTAACTCACTCACTCTAACCAAACTAGACCTATCACTATCAAAATCTGTAATACCCAATTAGTGAAGGCATCGGGTCCTAAAGGGAGGTTTGTCAAATCAACTCCCAAGGCGTCTGTTTCTCTCCCGATTGAAGACTTGGGGAGATCAAATCTGGGCTGAGACTTCTCTTTTCATTAGATTTGACTAGCCACTTAAGTAAGTCAGAGTTTTTTCTAAATATTATAAGTCTTATTTTCAAGATCACTGAATTTTTTACATGGTGGGTCATATTCTATCTTTCTTTGTCAATTTTTTATGTGTTGTTCTTTTTATCTTTTAAGTTAGATAACGAAGCAGACAATATAGTTTTCGACGTCCAATTTGTTGAACACATGATTTGATTTTGCCAAAAAGAAACCCCTCAATTAAAACAGATGTGGACCTTCACATGGAAACTCAATTTCCAACCTAACATGAAAAACTTTATGTCGAGGCTCCTAAATGGGTTTCTCAGTACTAAGGTTCAGTTGACAAGCAAAGGAGGATCCACAGATACCATTTGTTCACTTTGTGGGGAGGAGCCTGAAGACACTAATCATCTGTTTGTTAAGTGCTGCAAAATCAAGAGGTGCTGGGAGCTGATAGGTCTTGAGTGGGATGACTTCCAAGAAACAAGATTTGATCTGAGGTAGTGGTGGCAGCAGGTAAGCAGGAACAGGAAAGCAACCATCATCAAATACAGACTCTCCTTATCAGTCTGCCTGTTCTAGAGAATTCGGAAAGGGAGGAATAGAGTCATTTTCAATTAGGAAGAATTTCTGGTGAAGGAAATTGCAGCTGGAGCAAAAAGAGACTGGATTGAGCTGGTGGAGTTGAATGTGGCCAAACCACCTAATATGATCAATATAAGCAACCTCTATGCTTACCAGGAAGAAGAATTTTTAAAGAAAGTAGGAATTGTTGTCATATAATTCAGTGGTCTAACTTCTTCTATTGGTAAGGTAGGAGTGGGATTAATAGCAGAACTTGATGAAACAGGTGTGTTTGAAGGGAAACAACCATGGGAATGGGCAGAGAACCAGGTGGAAACTGAGCTACTTGGAGTGAGGTGGACCTTGGAATTGGCAGTGCAGCAAGGCTGGTCAGAGGTGATATGCAGGCTGAAAGCAACAAGCTTGTGGGCATTTTGAATGATCGTAAGAAGCTGGCTGAGCTTGTTGGAGTTTCGAGAACTATAATTGAGGACATCCTAGACCTGCTTAGAGATATTAATTCTTGTGTGTTTGTTCATGATGATGTATCCTTGAAGTGTGGTTCATTGGCCATGTTGGCCTTAGAGGAGGATTAATGTTTTTTTCCTCTGTCATATTTCCTAACTAGTGGCCTGTACTAGTAGGAAGTTCTTGTGTTCAGTTGAACACCTCCATGTACTTGTTTTGAGCTGTTGGTTATATAATTTATTTTGTTTTAGAAAAAAAAAAACTTTTATTGTAAAAATTAAAAAGTTGAAATCAAATTACTTAGAAGCTTTCATTTTGATTTAATTTGCAATTTAGAGCCCATGACTTCTATTGTGAAAATTATACACGTAATATTTTAAAAGATCAAATGTGGAGTTCTTTGTGACAATTTTGACATTGAATAAAATTGTTTCCCTATCTCCAAATCACATACAATACATTAGAGAATTACCCCTGAGTTCTTCCTTTTAAACAATCAGTTGAAGCTCAATTTCTTTCATGCAAATGCAGCTTCAAATCTGATCCTTTTCGATAAGGTTCTAGCCAAGGATCTCTGAGTGAACTTACTTTTTGTTTCTAATTGAATAGGCTCTTTTGATTTGAATGGTGAAGTTTCTTATGTTTGGCTATCCCATATCCAAGCTCACATGAATAATGTTTTAGATTGTCTAATGGTTAGATAATTATATTTTTTTATAAAATAATATACTTATACTAGGAACACTAGAAAATGTTTTCTATGACCTTTTTATATACAATTATGTAAATTCTGATTGCAAAAGTATAATTCTTAAATCTGATAACATTACTTTCAAACTGAATGTAGGGCTTTTTACCCAAGTGAAAGAGTGCTCACTGAAATAAAAATGTCAACTTCACATTACAGGCCTACATGTTCACAGTATTATAGCTTCCTTATCTACATAACCTGTATGCAACACTTTGTTTCACAGTAGGCCTGTAAACTAACTTGAAATCGAGCTCGAGCCCGTCTCGTCTATCAGTCATAACGAGCAGAGTTTGAGCCGATCTCGAGCTTTAACTAGCCGAACTATACAAATTATCTTTTCGAGCCTTATTTTTAACCAAACGAGTTTTAAATGAGCTCGATCTCGATTTATTTATCAAACGAGGCAAGTCGAACTCGAGCCTTAACAAACCGAGTTCGAGCCGAGCCGAGCCAAGCCAAACCAAGACTCGTTTAATTTAATAGTACTATTTTACAGTAGCTTTAGTAAAAGAATGGACTCTAACACTGTGACACAAGTCCCATTACATAACAATCAATTACATTTTACAATACAACACTAACACCTTAACTTTAACACAACATTGCACAAGCAGAAACCACACACTGTACATAAATCCAACATGAAATAATATTTTTTTTTCTCATGAAACCCGAACACGACTATCACGACATCACGGGACATCCCTCGAACACGACCCCTTTTCCCGTGGGACACGAAGCGTACGGACACGCATCGAGTTCGTTCCCCCACCAATCCACCCCAATCCCTTCCAATCCCAAGCACAGATACAAAACCACCCCCATAAACGCTAATCCCGCGTCCAAACCACCCGACAGCACGTAATTATACCGTTGCCACAAATCGGGCCTGTAACTGTACACAACGTAACCCGACAAAAAACCGACCAAAATCCACGTCGTGTAGTTAACCGCCGTGGCAGGTGGCATCATCCCACAAGCCCCTATAAGAACCGGCATGTTCACGAGCCTTATCCAAGCCCGACCCGGAAAAGCCCGCGCGGCAAGCCAAACGAGCACGGGAGCCAAAGCCCCGAATAAGAAAAACCAATTGATCATTGCATAAGTCCCCTCGTCTCCGAAGATCTTGCGAGGCCCGATAAGGCCCCATATAACTGAGGCATCGTAAAAAACATGGTCCGATGGGCACGTCCACACGTCAGACGACACCTGGCATATGTCGGGAATTGTCTCCATCAGCCACCACGCAGTCCCCGAGTAGACAAAAGCCGCTATTAAGGTTCCAACCACCTTAAAAAAAACAAAAAAAGGGATTGTAGTCGCACCATAAGAGGGTGAGCCTAGGTGCACAGTAGTAAGGTTCCATCCCAAAACTAACTGGTGATGGGAGGAGTAGCCTCACTAGGCATGTAAGCTAAGCCCATTTTCTCTCTAGGATCAATGTGCGACAACTCACAAGTAATATTCCAGTACTAACCTGTGCCATGAACATTGTTCTTGGTGGAATTTTCATGTAGTGCCCGAGTTTGAAATCTTGAAGGAACGTAATAGCTTGCGTCATGCTAATGTAACCGTAGACTTTGAAGCACATGTTAGCAACTGGGTATCCCGGGTAGATGTACCCGATTATGTACTCGGTTATGATGTTCAAGCCCGGTGACTGCAAAAAAAACAAGAAAATTCGAATGGCTAAGTGAAATAGAGATTCGTGAAAAAGAATGATAGACTCCGGGGAAGAAAATGCGGTCCCACACAGGTGAAGCGCACCATAAAAGGGTGAGCATAAGTGCACCTTAGTGAAGTTCTATCTCAAAACCAATTGTTGATGAGAAGAGTAGCCCACTAGGCACATAAGCTAGCCCATTTTCCGATAGAATCAATGTGGGATAATTCACAAGTGATATTCCAACGAAAAAGATGAGAAGATGGTGTAAAATATCGAGTTACTTACCTGGTTAGTTATGGCAGTAATTATCCCGATCGGGAGAGTAAAGAAAACGGCTATCACGCAGGCTAAAACGACACCCCACCATGGAAGCTGAAGCTGTTCTTCATAATACTCACACGCGAATATCGTGAGCGATATATTAACCGCAAGAATGCACCAAAACCACCACTCGGGTACTTGTCGATACTTGCTCATCAGCTTCGTGTGTATGTCCATTTTCTTCTCTTTAAAACTCGATTTGATTTGCTCCCATATTTCTCTATATACAAACAACAATTTTCCTCAAACATTTTGATCGAAACACATTCGGAAAGAAAAAAACAAAAAAGAATCTTAAATGATTAAAATGTACCTTCCATGAAACAGAGCCACATGCATAACCGTGGCACTAAGCGCGGCAAATCCCACCCCATACGTCATGGCGAAAAACGTGCTGAGGTGGAGAGGGCCCGCGCGCTCGTAGGCCATTTTATCAAGATGAAAATTCGAGTCTATAATGCTGGAAATGTTGTATATCTGTCCAGACGAGGTGAAAAGTTCGTCCGAAAAAATCGGGAAGGTCTTTGCGCCGTAAATATTGAACCAGTAGCTTAGTGGAGTCACAACATACATGACGAAAAAAAAACCGACAGCCACATTTGCTGTAGCAAACCATGGGCTGGCTAACGGGCTCCCAAGGTAAGATGAGATGGTGGACCAGTCGAGCCCAATAGCCCCTATGCCAAGACCATTGAGGCCCGATCCTAGCTGTTGGGCCAGAATTGATTTTGGGAAGATCCAACAGACCCATGAGAGGGATGTGAGCATTTGGAATAGATAGCCGGGGAAAATGTAGTAAGCGAAGCTGCACACGAAAGATATGATGAAAAACTGTGTTCGTGTCACGCCTCTTTTTGGCCGAGCTTCTTTCTCATGTAAGGCTCTGAAAACAGAACGAATCGAGAAATTTTTAGTTACATTCTTTGTTACATCAAGATTTTATTAGATAATGTTTCAATGTGAGAAGCACATAATCATAACAACAAATAGTTAGCTAGAAGTTCAACCTGATTTTTACTATACTTTTTGAAATATAAACGAACTAAACAGAAAATCGCATTGTAATAGCTACAAAACTCCTTCATTCTCAAGCTGCTATCATGACAAATAAACTAATATATGAATTTATCAGTTAACGAATGAATTGAAAAAAGGAAAAAAAAAAAAAAACAAAACGTGA